GGCCACAGGCCACTGCCTTGTTTTTACTTTTTTCACCTTTTTTGCTTTCTCTTTTCATTTTTTTGTTTAAAATTCCAAATATTTTAAGTATATGTTAAACAATTACATGGAAATCTTTGAGAAAATGTTAGCCAAGCATTTGAAGATTTTTAAATGTGTATGGAGAAAACGTGTATAATGTATATGAAAATAATACACAAAGAATAGACAATATGTATGGAAAAAGTTGATCATGTACTTTAAAAAATGTTAATCAAGCATTTAAAAAATGTGTATAGAATTGTTTTCATGTATGAGAAAAATATATATACAAAGAAATAACGTGTATGAAAAATGTTGATTATGTATTTAAAAATGTGAAATGTATATTTAAAAAATATTCCTAGTGTATACAAAAAATTGTACAGCGTGTGTGATAAGTGTTTATTTCTATTAAGTAATTTTTGTTTTCTATTGAAATTTTTGACCATGTACCCAAAAAATGTTAATCTTGTATCTGATTTGTGTTAAATGTGTATATAAAAATGAATTGGATATATACCATAAATGTACCATGTGTATGGAACAAACTAGAAATAAAAAATAGTTTTCAGAAAGTGCTAATATTTTTTTAAAATGTGCATATATAATATGTTTCTGATGTATATGAAAAAAGTGTGTATATATAATATATTTCTGATGTATACGAAAAATGGACAATGTTCACGGATTTTTTTTACATGTGCTCAACAAAATGAAACTAAACAAAGAAACCCAATAAAAACCAAATAAGTAAATAAAAGAAACTCAAGAAAGAAAGAAAACTGAAGAAACCCACTATAAAAGTGAGAAAACCGAGAAAGAAACAAAGACAAACAAAGAAAACATTTAAAACTAACAAAGAAAACTGAAGAAAAGAATCTGATAAAGGACAAAATTAAAATGGTAGAAAAACGTTGAAAACCAAATAAAAAAGAAAGAACAGAAGAAAACCAGTAAAACCCGGGAATAAACGGAAAACCCGGTGAAAAGAAAGGAAAACAAAAAACTAGAGAAACCCATGAAGAAAAAAAGAAACAAAAAGGATGAAAAATAGTTAAAAACGCAAAGAACACAGCTGCAGCGGTCGAGCGCTAGAAAACAGGCCAGTCCAATACTATATAGAACAGGAAAAATCTTTAGGCGAGACAGAAGCTAGCCTCGTTGTAAGCGTGATATAGCACTCGCGGTCCTGCTTCCGGTCCCGGCAACCCCAAATCCTATTTGGCGCATTTAGCGAGGTAATCCGTAGCA